GTACTTCTTCGAAAAGATGCTAAACTATTTTTATTATCATCATATTACATGAAGTACATACTCTAAAGTAATTGCGCATATTCTCGAGCACAATACACAATTAAGATTGTAAATGTTCCTATTAAAAAGTGACAACTTACTCAAACATTCAAAAACATTTTGATCAGAATCGAACATTCTCTTTTCAGTGTTATTTATTTAGAAGATTGACAAACTACATAACCTATTGTTTGCAAATCATTAACTATTTTGGTTGTTGCAATGATTTCAAAGTTATTTGTCTTAATATTTTTCCCAATCAATCGAATTTGCAATATTGAGAAGCATATCACTTTGTCAAAATATTTCAGATGAGAATAATTTGAATTATATTATATTATGATACTCTTAGTCATATGAAGTTTATTACTATGACGTCATTATTAAAGTTTGTGGTCCATATTATGATTATATGAAATCATTATTTATGATTACCAATTTCTTATGGAGAAAATAATTTAAATGCTAGCTAAAAAAAGTAGTAACTATAAATAAAAGATTTTTGTTTCTTGATATTGGTATTCATGATACTCATACTTTTCTAAGAAAATTCAAACTTTTTTCTTTCCCATTTGCATTAACATTCTATTTATATGCATTGTTTTTTTTTAACTTGTTTGATAGTAATAATATATTTGATAAAAGTGTACTTTTATATTTTTTATAATATTAAAATTCTTTAGATCTTTTTTCCATTGTTTGCTAAACATTAAGTAACTAACCCATTTTTATATTCACAAAGTATATTTTACACCCCTTATGGTGTTTCATTTCAAGCAGTAATTGAATAATTGTTTAACATACGATCCATTAATTTTTTTAATTCACATAGTTAACATAGGTGATAGTTGTACGTTTACATCTATTTTCTCTTTTTTCTTGGTATGAATAATTAAAATATATGTAAGAAAAATATACCACAAGTTTATCTATTATTATTTTATAATTAATTATTTTAAGTGAGTTAACATGTGTCTATAATTAATTTTATAAGATACTTTTAGGTCTATTTATTATTTTAACTTGGTTCAATAAAAATAAATATATTTTTATTTAATTTACAATACATTGACCAAATCAAACATGATGGGAAAGAAATAATGTGATATTATATATCACATAAATAAAAAATATTAATATTTCAAAATAAAAAATTTAAAAAATATAAAAAGAATTAAGACTAACATACTGATTTCTAATACAAAAAAAAAATATATAAATATGCATCTTAAGTATGTTTTAATTTATCATTCGCTAGCTTCAATTGATATAGGACATTTATTAATTTTATTATTATTATTTTTTTTTTTTACTTTTGGATGGAATGTGAGCTATAAGCTTTCTTGTTGTGTAGTATTATCTTTTTTTATATATACGTAAAACATCATTCTTACCTCTTGTTTAGTTATTACAATACTAATAAATAAAAACGAATTTTTTCAACCTAGATATATCTTTTTTAAAAAAAGAAACACTAATTATCATAAGTTAAATCATAAATACATTGAATATGTTATATTTTGTATCACTGGCAATAATTTTCAAAATAGTTAACTGCACACAATATTATATATAGTGCAAAATTGTTTAATTTGATTTGGAGTCACTTTTACTGTAAACAAATGATAAAATTCCAATGAAACATGTTACAGCGAAATTTTAATGATTTTTTTTTTTTTTTATAAGAAATTGCTTTGTGTGAATAATACAAATACATAGATAGATGAGTAATGATAATATAGCGAGATTGTTTATTGTTAAAATTTAATTAATTTTCAAAGTATATAGGCATATCATGATTATCCATATATTTTTAATTAATTTATAGATAATCATATGATGTAAATTAAATCATGTTGCTCAAGTAGTATCTCATTCGACATGAAAATAAATATTATGGGTTTTAATTTTATACAAATTCATAAAATTGTTCTAATCTTATTTTAAGAAAGGAAATTTAGTATATTAGAAGTTTAGGCTGCAAAATAACAATTCAACCGTTCTCATACTACTACACAATTTATTCTTTTTTTATAGGTTATTTTGAAAAACAAAAAATATTTCTATACTTTATGGGCATTATGAGGAAAAATATTATCGATTTCAATTTTCTTACTTATATAAGTTATAGTTTGTCTTTTATATTTTTATGATCTATTCTAATTTTTTGAATAATTATTTTCAATTAATCAATCACAAGAAGTACATTACATAATGGACAGTGTCAAATATATTGAAAGTTGAAAAAATAATATTTAAAAGTAATATTGAAAAAGATTGCATGAAAATTTTGGTTGAGAAACCTTCATTATCTAAGTTAGTCTTGTTTATTCGAAATCTTTTTTGTTTGGGGAAGATTGACAAATATGAATAGTAAAACTAAATTAAAATCTTTGACATGAATAATTGCATATGTTAGTTTACAATTTTATCTTCTTATCTCGTTGAAAGAGACCATTCTTTGTCATTATTTTTATTGATAAAATATAGCAGTTATAAGTCAACTGCCATATGTTAGCAAAGTTTTTATATATTGTTCATATTATCTTCTCCTTTTCCAGTAAAATAGTTTTTGTATACTTTTTTTTTTCTTCATTGGATCTTATTAATTATATATTTTCGTGAGTTATAAATATATATTAATATTCATGTTTTGGTTGAATTTCAATTTTTTTTTCATTCAAGTACTATTATATTTTTCATGAACCATTGCACACATATGGTACACAATTTGATATAGATTTCAATAGTCTTAAAAGATAATTTAAAAACATTAAAGCAATTATTTGGTAAATCGTATTGTTTTTTTATTTTTTGCTTAAGAAATAAAATTGATTTAAATTAAACATTCATATTATGTATAATTATCGATAGTTTTGGCCTCCATGTCACATTTAATAGTAACATATTGTTATTAATAAACTTATAAAATTAAATAAATGTTGCTAAGAAATTTATCTTATATACTTACGGTTAAATAAACTCTTAAAATTATTGAGAAAATCATAAAAATATTTACAAATCTTATAATAATGTCAATAAATAAAATATTTAATATACAAAAATTTGAATTATCATTGTTTATAGAGCGCTCATCTTGAAAATCAATTGCTCATGTGAAGCAATAATATTTTTTATTAGTTTTTTCCTTATCTATCATACTGAACGCGTTATTTATTTATTTATTTTTTATTTTTATTTTTTTTTGGTACAGAGATACATTGCTTGTCTAAATTTTAAAAAAATGAGTATTTGGTAAGGTAATGTCATAATTTTGTTTTTTTTCTGTACACTAACTTAACATTTTGATAATTTTTAAAAGTTTGTTCAAATTTTAATATCATTGAAAATCTTATTTAAATAAATGTAAAATTTAACATTTTGATAATTTTTAAAAGTTTATTCAGATTTTAATATCATTGAAAATTTTATTTAAATAAATGTAAAAGTTCCAGACAAAAAGTGAAAATGGGGAGTAACAAGATATTCAAAAAGGAGAAATTTTGATAAATAGACGACATTGATAATTGGGCCAAACCAACATACATAAACCCCAAGATCTAGAATGTGTTTAATTAAAAATATTAGTATAGGATGGGGGTATTAAATTACAAAATTGACATTATAAACATGACAAAGTAAGGTTAATTTAGGGATATCATATTTTTACAGATTCATTGGCTCTTTTATAATAGTATAGAAAAAAGTAAACTAAATTTAATATAGTTTTCTCATTAATTTTAAAATTTAAGAATAATTTTTTAACAAGCATCCATGTAATACATAGTTGTTGTACTAGTAAAATTGATTTCTCAATAAACACAAACCAACCATTAAATTTATTTCAGACTAAATTCAAATTTTCATGGTTTTGTATTTTTATCTATCTACTCCATTTGAGTCCATGTATTATTGAAAATTATATTAGTCAACCATTTCAATTTCAATGCACATCCAATCAAGTTATATGTCAACCATTAAAAAAAAAAAAATACTCACCCATTATACTTTTCTTCATTTGTTTTACTTACATTTTCGTATCAATGGGTCCATGGGCATTGAAATCAGAGAAAAAACTATACTGTAAGTTTGCCTACACAACACGTAACAAAGATGATTCACATGAATTTACATGGCAAAAATATCAAGACAACCCTTGTCTAAATTTATTGGTGGCTAAGGCCATCCAAATACCACATCGAAGTTGATCACGAGTTTATAAATATAGATAGATATTTCCCCCCTCAGAAAGAGACCTTTTGGGTACGACAGTAAACGAGCCGAGCCCAGTTGAGTTGTGCCCGTTAACTTAATGAGCCAATAGTAGAGCTGGAGCTAGGCTCAATAATCATTATTTAAAAGCAAACTCGAACTTTAACGAGTCTAACTATAGAAAATTATATATACATATATATATATATATAAAATATTATCTTTTCGAGCACTATTGAGTTGAGTCGACCTCAAGCTTTGACAAGCCTTACAAGTAACTCGTTTTGTTTAACAACTCTAATCATAAGTATTCTTTCCTGAATAAAGTAATAAATGAGAAGGCCAGTAGGGTCATGATGTAAGGGGCTCAATAGGGACTTTGTTCAGGAGGAAAATAGACTGATAAGGCCAACCAACAGTCCCACATTGGTTAGACATGGCATTTGATCACGAGTTTATAAGTTTAGGCATATCTCCATTGAAAAATGCTACAAGTACGTAATAAATGTACATAACACTCACATGGAGTGGGTCCACTTGATTTTCATTGCTGGTAGGACCCACTTAATGTGAGTGTTATGTCATTTCTCATCTCCATTAGAAAGAGACTTTTTAGTCATGAGCCCAAAAGTATAACCGTGAAGGCTCGGGAATATACAGTATGATTGAGTCGACCCGTCCAGAAGTCCTATAAATTCCAACAAATTTCTTCCACCATAAAAGAAACAACAAAACGAGGGAGAAAGAAAATGTCGATCATGTCGATCTTTGAACAACAATTCATCATACCTCTCTTTTCCTTCTTCTCCTTCATCTTCTTCATAATCCTATTCCAGAAATGGACTTCTTCCGGTGGCCGGAAAAACTCGCCGCCATCTCCAAAAGGACTTCCAGTGATCGGAAACCTCCTCATGCTCGGAAAATCTCCTCACCGTTCACTACAGTCTCTATCGAGACGTTATGGCCACGACGAGCCCTTGTTGCTTCATTTCGGGAGCTTGCCGGTTCTTCTTGTCTCGTCGGCAAAAGTTGCACGTGAGATAATGAAAAACCAAAACTCAATCTTCTCAAACAAGCCCAAACTAAGCGTGCCAGATAGGCTCACGTATGGCTCACGTGACGTGGCTTTTGCTGCTTATGGAGAATATTGGAAACAGGTGCATAAACTCAACTGGTACATATATGTATTATTGTATGTATATATATACTTCATAGATGATTATTTTTGGATGTGTCCTGCAGATGAGAAGCATATGCGTGCATCAGCTTTTGAGCAACAAAAGAGTTCAATCTCATCGCCATATACGCGAACAAGAAACCACGAACATGATCGACAAAATTAGGCAGTTGGGATCTTCTTCATCGATCAACTTGACCAATCTTTTTTCCTCACTGACAAACGATGTCATTTGCATGGCATTGTTTGGTAGGAAATACGATGGTGAAGATGGCAAGAAGTTCAAGAAGTTAATGAAAGAGGTCAATGATTTATTAGGTAGCGCGAGCATAGGGGAATATATACCATGGTTGGGTTGGATTAGTCATGTTAACGGGTTATACGCAAAAGTCAAGAGAGCGGCTAAACTGTTTGACGATTTTTTGGAGACTGTGATTCGAGAACATAATAAAGATTACGGCAAAAAATACGAACAAGGTGGAGATAAAGAGTCGTATTTCGTTGACAGATTGCTCCAACTTCAGAGAGAGAGTATAAATAGCAGCTCGCCTATTACAGATGATACGGTTAAGGCTCTCATCGTGGTAAGAAAAAACACATTTTTCACATGTTTTTTTTCACGATAAATGCGATAAATTTTTCCTTAAAGCATAGTTCTTGCTAAGCAAAATGTTTACCCGAACGATCAATCTTTTCATGGCAGGACATGTTTATTGCTGGAACCGACACCACAGTCACAGCTCTCGAGTGGGCAACGGCAGAGCTCATAAAGAATCCACGAACCATGAAAACCCTACAGAACGAAGTGCGAAAAGTTGTCGCAAGTAATAACAAGAAAGATACAATAAACGAGGATGATATCGAAAAAATGCCTTACCTCAAAGCAGTGATAAAAGAGTCATTGAGACTCCATTCGCCGGCCCCTTTGCTCACCCCTCGCGAATCCACTCATGACACGAAGGTCATGGGCTACGATATATCTGCCGGGACAAGGGTAGTGATAAACGCGTGGGCCATCGGGAGGGACCCAACATCTTGGGACGATCCTGAAAATTTCATTCCCGAGAGGTTCTTGAATTCGGAAGTTGATTTCAGAGGCAAACATTTCGAGTTAATCCCGTTTGGCGCTGGCCGAAGGGGATGCCCTGGGATTAATTTCGGCGTGGCTGTTGATGAGCTTGGATTAGCCAAATTGGTGTACCATTTCGATTTCGAACTGCCGAATGGAGAAAAGGGAGAGGATTTGGATATGAGTGAAACTGGAGGAATAACAGTTCATAAAAAGCTTCCAATGCTTGTGGTTGCCACTCCATATAATTGTGTTTTTAACAGTTAACTCCATTTGAAAGCCTAGTAAACTCGATCAAACGATATGCCGTATTAAGCGTGTTGCGATTTCTAGACAAAGCATATTTAGCAATATATCAGACAAGTTTATCTATTAACTTGTGGTCTATCTGTTCAATCATTCTCTGCTTCAGACACAATATTCAGAAATGATAGAACATAGCAAACACACTGACACAGTCACTTAAGTTCTTGATGTGTGCTAACTTCTTGCAAAAATCTTGTCCATTCACATGATTCCACAACATTATATCACACAAATCATCCAAAAAACAAAAGAACAAATAAATTACGAAATACCAGAGCTTCCCATCTGTTTCTAGCAGCAGCCATATCTCTCATTTGCCTCACCTCGTACGTACACTCGTACACTCCTCTTCAGTTACTTTCATTTTTGTGCACTAATTAACCTCAAAATTCCCAAACAACATAAGAAACCTAAGATTAAACACAAACCCATTTCTGCAGTTTAATCACAACATTCAAAAAAAGAATAATCAGTGTTAAAAAAAGTGATCTTTCTTCTTCCGTTTCTATTATTTTCGGCTTACATAGTGGCGACTGGCGAGCTTTGTGGGTTCGAATATACGGGCCCGTAGCAATTGCAAAACGGGTCGAGCCCGAAAGAGTTCCAGTTTCTTGGTCTAAGGCCTCAGTTACAATTTAACCTTTTTTTTTTTTTT